AGGTGTTGGAGGTTGCTGTGAGCTGTGATACCATGGCACTCTACCCAGGGGGACAGCTTGAGGCTCTGTCTCAAAAAAAAAAAAAAAAAAGAAAGAAAGTAGAAGAGGAAGGAATTCCAATAACTACATATATAGAGATACACACATTGAAATGTGGCAAATTATGACATATACCTCCTATGTATATTATCACACCAGCATTCTCTTGATATGTAAGGAGAATGTTAGCACCATAACGAAACTTGGAAATAATGAAGTTTACATTTACAGTTTTAAAGTGTTAAATGCTAATGAACATGAAGAATAGAACGTAATAAAAAGTAAGTAGATGCCAGAAATCTCAGGATGTAGATTTCTCAAAATTCTAAATGACTAATTTTCCTAGATTGGCCACCTAGGGAAAAGAAGGTCATCTCTTATCAGACAAAAAAGAGAGGGAAAGGACATACTCACTCAGAGAAAGAGAAAGGATATGTGACATATAGAAGACACCCACAGTCATAATAAACACATTTAAGAAAATAGTTCTGAATGATTGCCAAGGTCAAAAGCCCAAACTAATGGGTCATAAGGTATACAAACTTTCTCTGTTAAAAGGAACTCGACACTGTAACTAGCACACTAGCATGTAGTCAACACTGTCAGTAAATGTTTATACAAAGCGTGAGAAACCAGTATGTATGTTTAATATTAATAAATTTTGTTTTCTACTGTTTTTCTATTGGTTAGTCTTTCCTGTGGGTGACCCTGAAGGAAGCCTCACTTCTCTCCCGGCACAGAAAGTTCCTCATACAAGAGTCAGGGACCTTGAGTGCTCATTTCCTCTTATAAAGCTATAATTCTGGCAAAGATTTTTAATAGGAGCTGTTTACTAAATTTAGAAAATTATCTCTTTAAGGTTTGAACAATCTTTCTAACAATATAAAAGGTTTTTCACTTCCATAATAATACCAAGAAAATGACACACACACACCCCCAACATACACAGACTGATTCAGGAATAAATCTATCTTTCCTCTAGCTGATGAATAAAAGAAGGTTGTAGGGTCAAATTAGAGAAGTTAGGGAAGGAGGAGTCTGCTCATTGACTAATTTTGGAACTTAAGGAAATCAGGAGTAAAGTATAGTGGGAGAGTAATTTTAAGTACTTATTTCTTTTGATTGCTGTTATTCTATTTGTACATGTGAGCACACACACACGTCTATGGAAGACCAAGTTATCCATATTTTTCTAACCCATTTCCTTTCTGAAAGACATCTCTCAATGTACTCAGTACTACTATAAAACCAATTTATAATCACTCACACTTTCATATGAGAGATAAATCACAACTATAGCCCAGGATGAAGGAGGGAAGGGGAGAGGAATGGGAAGGGAGGGGTGGTTCAATAGAGGGAGGGTTAATGGTGGGACCTCACCTATGAAGCATATTGCAAGGGTACAAGTCAAATCTATCAAGTATTGAACACAAATGTCTTAAACTGTGATTAAGTAAATGAGGTGAAAGCTATGTTAATTAGTAGGATGTAAGCACTCAGATTTGTACAAATAATCAACACATTGAATCCCACAAAGGCATACCGTGTTTCTCTGAAAATAAGACACTGTCTTATATTTATTTTTTCTCAAGAAGACACACTAGGGCTTATTTTCAGAGGATGTCTTATTTTTATTAAGTATAATACAACAGTCTACATTTATTCAAATACAGGTAATTCATCTTCTTCTGGAACCTGACAGGGGGAGCTGATATTGTTGGTCGGGCTGGTGCTAGTGATGTGTGAACTCCTTTCCCTTAGATGTTTGCATGTGTGCAATAGGATACCTGTAACTGCAGTTACCACATGTGCACCCACAAAAGTGCGAACGGCTTGGAGAAAGGAGCTATGGCAGGTAAAAGGTATTCCAGTCTTCCTTATTGCTCAGCACCAAAGTGCATGGCATGGCTATGCAGATACGCTACATAGTCACGCCCATCACTAGATCTTATTATCGGGTAGGGTTTGGGTAGGTCTTATTTTGGGGGAAAAATGGTAAATGTATTCATGATCTATGTATATATGACTTAATTAAAAAAAAATCTCCTTTAAGACTTTTGTTATTTAAAAAGCAACCAAGATACCTACAGAAAAGTAAAAGTCATCTTCAAGCCTGTCTTTATCAATTTTTAGTCTAGTGCCTATACTTGAGTGTCTGAGGGTGAATAAATGTATTAATTAAAACATTTATTGTGTGGGCGGTGCCTGTGGCTCAGTGGGCAGGGCACCGGCCCCACATACCAAGGGTGGCGGGTTCAAACCTGGCCCCGGCCACACCGCAACAAAAAAAATAGCTGGGCATTGTGGTGGGTGCCTGTAGTCCCAGCTATTGGGGAGGCTGAGGCAAAGGAATCGCCCAAGCCCAGGGGTTGGAGATTGCTATGAGCTGTATGATGGCATGGCACTCTACTAAGGGCGACAAAGTGAAACTCTGTCTCTACAAAAAAAAAAACATTTATTGTGGGCCTGCTATGTATACCAGACACTGTTTTAGATGCTATGGATAAAAATACAAATGACTTTGTCCTCAAGATATCAGATTCATATGTGAATAAGTACAATAAGATAGAGTTTGGCAAATATCATATGAAGGGGGAAAAAAGACTACAGAGAACCCTGGATTGCTTCTGGCTAGTAGTAAAAGTTAAGGACGCAGAGTGTATTCCATAGCATAGGTGGCTCTTGAGCTGAGCCTTTAAGAGTTTGAACAAGGGATTGGGAGGAAGAGGATTCCATGAAGTAGCAACAGAGAAAACAGACATGGAAAAGGGATGTCACTGGATATTGTTAGGGAGATATTAATATAGTATTCAATTTTTCTCCAGTAGCTATTCTTAAAAGAGAGTAAGTATGACAATAGCAAGAAAGAAAAGTTGAAGTAAGACTAGTAGACAGTGATTTAGTCACCAGAAATTTTTGAGCTGAGTAATAGTGTGATCAGATTTCTGTTAGAAAGATTAATCTTGTGGTAATATATATGCTCATTTTTAGGAAAAAGATATGGGAAGCAGTAAAAAAACATTTGAGGTGTCCATTTTAATATCTCAATTTAGAGACAATGCAAACTAAAATTTGGGTGATGGCAATTAATGGCAGTGGATTTAGTGTTAAAAAAAGATACAGCCAACATTGTATTGAATGGAGTTAAACTGAAATCATTTCCACTCAGATCAGGAAC